TATGACACAGTAAGACGCAGAAAAGATGAAAGGTGTGGGTATTTATCATCTTTTTATGAGGTCCATCTTTTACAGACGACTTGAAATGACAAAGTGATGGCGTGTCTTCAGGCCAACCAGACTTCATTAACCATATCGTCTAATGGTGTCTTTACATTCTCCGTCGATCACATAGATTTCTCCTCAGATCACGATCACAAACTCGTCAAATTTGTCATCAACATTCGTTAAAATAGTTGCGTCACAACGGTTGCGAACCCAACCCACCTGACACCCACCGTTTGCAACCGTCAGAACAGAGGTGGTCATCAGACCAGGTTGCCACGTGCGCAGGCAGACTCGGAAGAAGCCACTGAAGTGGGTGACACCATGAATGTACAACCCTGGGGGGGGGGGGGGGGGGGGGGGGGGGGGGGGGGGCGACGGGGCATTAGCGACGTCAATGTCTTAAACATTTTCTTTGAATTTTATCAAATTTTGACCAGCGATAAACAGTATTACGAGAAGAATTTGGGGTAATAAAAAGCACGTTATGTGTGATAAGGGCCCTAAAATCTCCATCTTATACCTTGAAATACACACATTTGAAACCCAGTTGTATGACTCCAAATGTCAATTTTCTTTTTTTTAAAAATAAGTCCCTTAAATATTAAAGAATAAAACTCGCCAGTAGAAATAAACAAATAAAAATATGTTAGTAAATATTTTAAAAAAATAAAATATTCAGATATGTTCTTTAGAAATACGCGCAGATCCAAATCAAATAGGACCATTCTTGTGGACGGCCCATGCCCCATACGGGGTGAAGAGACATGAGAAGAAGAAAGTCAAATTTTGTGATTCAATGTTATGTGGTGACATTCATGTTTGCCGGTGAATTCCCATTGGTTTAATCAGTTGCAGGTCTCCGATGTGTCGCAGCCCTTGTAAGTCTCGTTGGCGAATCTTGACTACATCCTGGCGAATGGGCGGGGATCCTAAAATTGTGACCCTCAGCACTCATTTGTTATACAATGGGACATTAACACCCATAAAAATGCCGTTGAAACCGTTGTCCCATTCGCCCATTAGGTATGGATTTTAAACGGTTAAAATCCATTATTTAAAAAAAAAAAAGCAACCTCCAGTCTGTCTTAGAGGCCGACCGAATTTCGGCTTCGGCTTCGGTTTCGGCGCCGAAAGTGGCCGTTTTATCACTTTCGGCCAAGTTTCGGTTTCGGCCGAAACTTAAAAGTTGACTTTCGGCTTAATTTCGGTTTCGGCCGAAAGAGAAAAGTTAACTTTCGGTTTTTCTTCGGTTTCGGCCGAAATTGACTTAGACTTTCGGCCATCCGGCCGAAAGTAAGTGACTCAGGTTTTCGGTCAATTAATACACAGCAAAAGCGATATTTAACAACAAACTAAGCGATCTTTAACAACAAACTAAACGATCTTAAGGAACAAAATCAATTATCTTTAACAACAAAATAAGCGATCTTTAACAACAAACTAAGCGATCTTTATGAACAAATGAACAAACTAAACGATCTTTAAGAACAAATAAAGCGATCATTAACAAAAACTGGGCGATCTTTAACAACAAACTAAACGATCTTTAACAACAAACTAAACGATCTTTAACAACAAACTAAACGATCTTTAACAACAAACTAAACGATCTTTGACAACAAACTAAACGATCTTTAACAACAAACTAAACGATCTTTAACAACAAACTAAGCGATCTTTAAGAACAAACTAACCGATCAATAACAACCAACTAAACGATCTTTAAAAACAAATTAAGCGATCTTTTAGAACCATAATTTTTAGAGACCCGGTTTAAAAAAATATTTTGCATTAATTCCCCCCCCCCCCAACCCCAATTTTTGCCAAATTTTCTCCTACAATACTAATTTTAAAAAATTGTAAAGCAATCTAAATTACTTTTATATTAAAATAGTAAAATCCAAAGTATTCATTAGATCAAGGGTCTCAAACTCAAATCATCAGGGGGGGGGGGCGCAGGAGGTAGTGTCTGAATGAGAGTGGGCCGCATCAAGTAATCCACAAAAAAAGCGATTAAAACTGTTACAATCTGCTCAACCTTTATAAATAACAATAAAATCATTAAGGGTTCTCAAGAACTAGGATTCACTTTCATCCACCTATTCACTGTTGAATACAAAAATATATAGAAACATTTTAAAAAATAATCAGAATTAGACTAGTCGGTGAGATTCGACTGAAACCGTCGCGGAGAGTCACGTTATAGATATGAGAATGGGGGAAACGGGCCGGCGCATTTACACTAAACTTTTCTGTCATGTAGCGGACCGCAAAATATCGTCTTGCGGGTCATAAATGGCTCGCGGGCCTCGAGTTTGAGACCCTTATAATAGATGTTTATTTATTAATATTCACGATTATCTCATTTTTTATAAAAAGAATGTAAATATTTATACTTTCCCCATCCTTTTCGATATATGCAGAATGTATGCGGGAACGAATTTCAAAATATCTTAACATTTCATTTTCGGTTTCGGCTTCGGTTTCGGCTTCGGTTTCGGCTTCGGTTTCGGCTTCGGTTTCGGCTTCGGTTTCGGCTGAAATTCATTTTTAACTTTCGGCCTTTTTTCGGTTTCGGCCGAAAGTCATTTTTAAACTTTCGGTATTTTTTCGGTTTCGGCCGAAAGTCATTTTAAACTTTCGGCCAATTTTCGGCTTCGGCCGAAATCAGAAAATCACTTTCGGTCGGTCTCTAGTCTGTCTACATCTTCTACAGCGGTGGTTCTCAAGATAATAATAATAATAATAATAAAGTTTATTTGAAAAACACGCTTCATCTCCAAAAGCTCGAAGCGCGGTAAAATGTCAACCATATTAAACAAGAGAAATGAAAACAATCTAAACTTTACCACATTTAAAAACAGACGCAACATTATAAAAACTACATACGAGCATACCAAGTCAAAGTCTTTCATCCCATTTCAACCATAAGCAACACAAGCCAATATACATAAACTGGAAAAAGATGGTAGACAGCATCGCCCCAGAAGGTGTTTGCGAAATAGATGTGTTTTTAAAATCGGTTTGGGCGTCGAACGACCTTTTCACATAGGTCGCCTAAGACCATCGACATACACGTATTTATGAGGTTGCAGCAAAATATGTTAGGGGGGTCACCACAGCAGGAGGAACTGCATGAAAGGGTCGGGGCATTGGGAAGGTTGAGAGCCACTGATCTCCAGGGTTAACTTCCTTGTTTCCCCCCAAGCCAAGGAATGAGCCGTAGTTAAAGCACAACCAGATGGTGCAGATCCACACCACGTTGCACAGCTGAAGACGCTTTCTGTTTTTATGTTTAGGCAACCCTGCTCGATATGGAGTACTGGAAATGAACCTTGCTGTTAAATAGAAGGCACTTGTTTTAAAGTTTTGACTGGGAGGTTTATACATTTAATGTCTCGTCATCTTGCTGTTAAATGGAAGGCACTTGTTTTAAAGTTTTGCCTGGGAGGTTTATACATTTAATGTCTCGTCATCTTGCACTCATTTTTCAGTGCTGTCCCTTCAATGAATATTACGAAACAATGAGGAAACACAGCAATTTTTTTTTTTCGTTCTTTCTTTTTTTTTTTTTTACGATTGCTGGAAGGCGGCAATGGACTGTAAAAAAGGGGGGGGGGGGGCTTCAAACAATTAAATTTTACATTATATCCCGGGGGAACAAATATTTTTTTTTTTTGTTTTTTTTTTTTTTTTTTTTTACGATTGCTGGAAGGCGGCAATGGACTGTAAAAAAGGGGGGGGGGTGTCTTCAAACAATTAAATTCTACATTATATCACGGGAGAACAAATGTACTAAATTCATATTTTAGTATAAATCTTAATCTTTTCTTCTTTGAAAAAACCTTCCTGAAATACCATGCAGAGGCGTGGGATTTTTTTTAAAATGAGAGTAATAATAGTTGTCAGTGAAAAGCAAAGGACTGTTGCAGGCGTGAAAACGGTTTTGAAAATTCTCTTTTTCAATACAAGAAATCGGTTTTTAACGATTTTGCAATGTTATTTAAACATATAATATAGTAGCGAGGGAAACGTTGGGTAAATGAGGCAGCTGTTTCGTCCTTGCCAAAGGTAGTATTACGATGTTTAACTTATGACAGCTCACGGCCGCGTTTAAAAGCCATGCTTTACCAGGATCATTGTGGTCCAGACGGCCCTGAGGAAACTATCTGCGCCTACCTGTGGATTCTCCAAGCTTGACGGGCGGCCATGGCCGTGTTTGTGGAGTTTTACAGAGTTTAAAAAGAACAATTCTGAGTTTCCTTCTCTTAGATCTATTGTCATCGAGGGTTAACTAAAGCTTAGCTTGAGATGTGCTCAGTTTAGACCACTCGGCCACCCAGCTCGAAGGGTCTGCGTTACCATGGCGCAACTGGCTTACCCTTAACAAAATTGTAATTGCCCTTATTTAAGCGAATTTCTTTGGATTACTTCAGGAACTATGTTATAAATATATGCAGGTGTAGAACGAATTACTTCCGCACTCTTTTGTGTGTGTTCTTTTTCAGCTCATACGTACGCCAGAAAGGGAATTAATTCGAGATAATCTCTTATTTTAGTGTCGTAAATTAAAGGCAATAAACTAGTCATAGCTTTGATCGTTATAAAAATTATTAGCCTGTTATCTCCCTTGATGAAACTTCAAACACTTTGTGAGATTAACCCCGTGGTATTTAGCAATATTTTATGATCAAAGCTAATTATAATAAGAATTTCAAACCATATAATGTGTTATTAATACTGCAATGACGCCCGGCTGCATGGGTTTTTTAAAATCTTTTTGACAACGTCAGTGACGGAACAGCTCTCGGTATAGACCTCAAATATCCAACCATACATAGAAATCCTTGCAGCTCGCAGCGAAAACTCCCTCCACGATCTCTTTGGCCTTTGGTCGATGTCAAACGCCACCACCCCCGAAACCTAATAAACACATTCATTGATTAATGCAAATAAAAATCGTTTTCGTCTTCATCAGTCCATGCTTGTTTCACTAGCTCAGAATTACCTCTAATGTTACGGAAGCTTTTATATGAAGAAAAAAAACAACTCTAGTTTTTTGTTGTTTAATTTTAACGCTAGTTATAAGGATCAACTGTTATTCTGTTACTTTCCATTGCTCACTGTAAAAACTTTCGCGAAAGAAATTACATATTCAGACTGGTTAAACAAAACAAAAAATTAGTTATTTTTATATCAGGCTCTAGTTACCATCTGGTTCTCTGGCAAGACACTTCACCGGCGTCTCATGGAGACCAATCGCTCGTCATCATACCGACATCATTACTTCAGTGTGTGTGTGTGGGGGGGGGTTTGTGTGTGTGTGTGTGTGTGTGTGTATGTTTGAGCACGTGTATGGTTGCATTTATCGAAACATAAAAAGACCCCAAAAGAAATGCATCGTTAGTGAACGGTACTACTGTCACGGTACTACTGTCATGTCACTACTGTCATGGTCCTACTGTCATGTCACTACTGTCACGGTAATACTGTCATATCACTACTGTCACGGCACTACTGTCACGTCACTACTGTCATGTCACTACTGTCACGGCACTACTGTCATGGCACTACTGTCACGGTACTACTGTCACGGCACTACTGTCACGGCACTACTGTCACGTCACTACTGTCACGGTACTACTGTCACGTACTACTTTCAGGGTACTACTATCACGTCACTACTGTCACGGTACTCCTCCATTAGCCATTAAAAATACACGTAGAATATTATGTTTCCAAAGCAGCATAAAATACCACTCGTTCCAAGGAGGTGTTTCAAGGTGTGTAATAATTTGAGAAGCCTTTGAATGTCATGAGAACGTTGGTCCTACATATCTGATTTTTTTTCTGACAACGCACATTTCTGTGTTGAAAACCAACATTATTTTGGCCTTCTTGTTAAAGCCCTTGTTACAATTTGGTAATTTGTTTTTTAAAAAATAAAGTATTATTGGAAAAGAATTGAAATCAAGAATACATCCACAAACGTTTAGAATTAAAAACTAATGTGTAAATTGTATTAATTAATTGTAGTTAGCATTCAGTTAGATTCATTCCTATTGCATATAAATAATTAATACAGGCTAAATGGTATTTGTCATCATGCAAAATTCGGACGGGACCAACAGAATTAATAATTATTAAGATTTGTAAACATATACACACGCACACCAGTGTAGAATTCTCAAGCTACCAGTGTAATCGGTTACAATTATGCATAGGAATTTTCCATTTTAAACACTTTTTGCACGTGCGTGTTCAAAGTCTAGCTATTTTAGACCCGTTTGGTCAAATCCAAGATGAAGGCGATGTAAAGGCAATATAGAAATGGTTCGAAGAATCATAGGCACATATTTTTCAATTGTTTGAAGGAATTATATTTATTGAGGTAAATTCTTTCCTTTAGAATAAACTCAGAAGTAAAAGAATGTAAGTGCTTGCATCAAAAAAATTATATCATTTTGACAGGCTAATAATCGTAAAGTATGATAATTACATTAGTCTGTTATTTCATCGTAAATTATGGTAATTAAGTTATGCTTTCACAGAATCCGTCCATGAAAAATTATCCCAAATAGTAGTAATGATCCATCATTTGGTGTCATCGTCTGTCTAATCTTCTATAATATATTGTTTCCGTAACAACAAGCCTTTCCTGTAACGTGTCCTCTATTTGTGATACAAATCACACTTGTTCATTGAAACCATTAGTGGCACATGACCTTGTTGTACCTCCTGTAGGAATCGTTGTAGTTGGCCGTAGCTACACATGCAGCGAACTGGACATCGCAGCGACAAGCCTTGTAGGCACAGGGCCATAACGTTGGGGAATCTGTGAGAAAAATATTGCACGTGAATATTTGTATATTTAACCACTGATCAGAAAGTTTTCTTTCAACCGGTAATTGCTCTAATTCTTTTGATATTACTTTTCAGCTATTTTTTTTAGAATTTAATTCTGATTTTACTGTTGTTTGTTCGCTGATGAAGGCTTCACCTTAAATTGTTTTGTTGCGTTCCTTTTTTCAGGTTTTCCAGAAACTTTGTTTCATTCATCTCCATTTTTTTTTCTTTTTTGCTATTAATATTATAGGTACTAATGTGTCGAGAACCCAGATTTTAATTTAACACTTCTAACAACACATCACTGTGCCTAACAAACAAAATGTCCTGTTATTGGTGTAAAAAAAAACAACCTGATATAAGATTCTGGCCTTTTAATATTCCCTTGAATGAGTCTAGAATTTGGAAAGCGTCAAGACTAAGAATCAGTATCATATAGTATATGGGTAGTTCTGTCCCCACAAAGGATTCGCAACTTTCATCTCAAAAATGTTATAAACTTTCCTCATCAAATTGCATATGTAGTGGTAAACCAGTTTCTCACAGCAGTCTGGAAGCTTCAAGACCCACTATAGCCTTGGACACACGATAGCCTTGGACCCACGAGAGTCTTGGACCCACGAGAGCCTTGGACACACGATAGCCTTGGATCCACGAGAGCCTTGGACCCACGAGAGCCTTGGACCCACGATAGCCTTGGACCCACGATAGCCTTGGACCCACGATAGCCTTGGACCCACGATAGCCTTGGACCCACGAGAGCCTTGGACCCACGATAGCCTTGGACCCACGATAGCCTTGGACCCACGATAGCCTTGGACCCACGATAGCCTTGGACCCACGAGAGCCTTGGACCCACGATAGCCTTGGACCCACGAGAGCCTTGGACCCACGATAGCCTTGGACCCACGATAGCCTTGGACCCACGATAGCCTTGGACCCACGATAGCCTTGGACCCACGAGAGCCTTGGACCCACGATAGCCTTGGACCCACGAGAGCCTTGGACCCACGATAGCCTTGGACCCACGATAGCCTTGGACCCACGATAGCCTTGGACCCACGATAGCCTTGGACCCACGAGAGCCTTGGACCCACGATAGCCTTGGACCCACGAGAGCCTTGGACCCACGATAGCCTTGGACCCACGATAGCCTTGGACCCACGATAGCCTTGGACCCACGATAGCCTTGGACCCACGAGAGCCTTGGACCCACGATAGCCTTGGACCCACGAGAGCCTTGGACCCACGATAGCCTTGGACCCACGATAGCCTTGGACCCACGAGAGCCATGGACCCACGATAGCCTTGGACCCACGAGAGCCTTGGACCCATGATAGCCTTGGACCCACGATAGCCTTGGACCCACGAGAGCCATGGACCCACGATAGCCTTGGACCCACGAGAGCCTTGAACCCACGATAGCCTTGGACCCACGATAGCCTTGGACCCACGATAGCCTTGGACCCAAGAAAGCCTGATGTAGACCATCCACCCCCAGTATAATAAAAATTATCAATATTTTTCAAGGCGTCAACATGGTAATGGTAAATTTAGCCCCCCCCCCCCAACGAATAAATTATTTAGCCCTTTTAAATGTTTTCAATAAAAATAAACATAAATAAATACATAAACAACTGGACCAGAGGTGGAATAACAATAACAGTCTCGATTTTCACTTGTAAGATGTACAGTATACTGATGTATGACTCTGCCTGATTTCTCACTCTTTTTTGAACATTTGTAATTAACCCTATGATCAAAGTACGATATATATTCAAATGAGCATTTTTTAAAAATACATATTAATGTAATCATTCCAATATACATAGACTGCAACAGCCTGGAGTGACGTGTACGCAGCTGTCTGTGACATTTCATTTTGCCCCGACAGCTGTTGATTGGATTCGACCTTTCACCAGACTGCTGGAGCAAGGGTCAACTGTGCACCTGTGGCGGCGAAAACGCGTCCGGTCGGGGGAACACTTGCCCGAAGTTTGGTACCAGGGCGCCGGCCCAACTCGGTAGCAACCGGTGCTTACACCGTAAAAAAAAACAAAACACCAATGCTACTCTTTCAGTAATAATGCAGAAGGAACATATTTTCTTACCTAGGCAGGTAGCCACTCTGTCTGTATAATTCACGGAGTACACGGTCAGGTGTGGGTCACTAAACCAGTGACACTGAAGTGAATGGTAACAGTGATCGTGAATCATGCAGCATCTGAAATGGACACACGATAACATTCATTGGGATTCATGCACGTGCATCTTTGGGGAGGCCCCTAGATTATCAAGACTAACACATAACTGCCCGTTGGATATGGGCTGACGTCATCTCCAGGTTAGTTCACGGCCTCCTTGTTTTAAATCCTTTATATCAAATTCGCTTTTGTTAGTTCATGATAAAATCTTCATAAAGCTTATTGACCCACTTCCCGTCAACTAATCGAACTGAAATTTGGCATATTTACTCTTTACCGATGACAACACATTCTTTCAAATTTTCAGCCCCACAACCTCCCCAAACCCCAAAAATCAGTTTTGCCTGTTTTTCAAGGGGGGAGATAAAAGAAATATGATGAAGAAGATTTCACGAAATAAAATTCCCGACATCTGAGCTAAATAAGAAATTTTTTTTTAATCTCTCAAGTATGTTGTGTGCGTTATATTATTTTATTTATTTTTTTTTCTGAAATAGTTGGTGAAATAGATCTGCAGTGATAAAACGGAATATAACTCAGTGACACGAAAAAAGTGTTTGTTTGAGAGCCTTAGGGGAGGGCGAACCACTTATTGAGATTCTAATAAAATGCATGAATTTTATACATGTTTTGTCAAATTTTCAGCTCCATACCCCTTGCCTGAAATATCATTTTCTAAAAGATTGAAACGAAAAACTTTGTGTTTAGGGCTTGTTACTTAAGACGAATTAAATTCCTTTAAGAAAATAATAAATACTTCGGAAATTCAAAATGTCCGGGTTTAACCAAATGATTGCGGGTAGAGGAGCAAGATCTTTTATGCTCTAGAGCAGGGGGTCATGCATCGCCTAGGCGCGCGTATACTTTTTCCAATGGCAGACGGGAGAAAAAAACACCCGAACAACTATAAACAGTTACTTATGATGTAGACGTGTGATTTGTTGGTAGGCTAAACGAATGAGACATCCTACTTTTGCACACTTTCTCCACAAGGTTTCTGACCCCTGCGCTAGCCATCCAGTTTTAGGAATGTTGGTTGCTTTCAGAATGTTGAGTTTAAAGTCGGAGTCACTGGTCAATGGGTTACCTATCCACTCCATCCACTGGATTGCTACCCACGCTGCCGTATCCACAAAAGCATCCGTAGTTGTTGAACTTTAAGCAGCTCTTATCCGTGGTTGCCTCCAGAACCTCGCAGAGCTGTACGATGCTGCGCTTGCTCACGTGACTGCGTGTCATTGACGCCAAGGGCCCTGCTGACACCATCAGTGCTGCTGATCAGAAACAGATGTTCAAAATAAACAATAAAAAAAAAATCTATATATATAATTCCTGAGCGAAACTAGGGCAAACAAGAAGCAAGACGACGACGCAGGCTATATATAGATACGCCAGAGCAAGCAAGACGCAGGAAGACCCTCCCCCTCCCTTCCCTTGCCTGCCCATCGTTGGTCTCGAGACAAGCGCACTGCGGTTGATCTACCACCCCACTCTCCTGCACCACCCTCGTTTGCCAGCCATGCGCACACCCCAACAAGCTGGCGGCGTATGCTAAACCGCGGGTCTGCTATAATAATGAAAAAAATGAGGGTGGGGGGGAAAGGGGTGTAGCAAAATTGGCATTCTTAAATGTGCGTAATTTGAGTTCACGTTTTTGTCAAGCAACTTTAGTAGATGGTAAGCTCACGCACTGCTGCCGCTAATGTTTGGCGAGCGATATCAAGTTGAAATAAATATATGTAAAATTTATTTTGTGATGCTAACAAAATTATTCCGCACACGGTGCACATAATTCTGATGTGCATAGCTAATTGATAAATTCCTTCATGAATTACTCTTGACTGCTTATTGGGGAATGAAGAATATTCCCCCGTGCGACGCTATTTATGTTCATTTTACCTAGTGCGTGAATGTCACACCATTTCGGTAACGATATAAAAAAAACAAACCTAACTGAGAATCGAAGACATAGAAATCGCTTCATCGACGTGGCGTACTACTTTGAATTTTACTTGATTGATTTAATGTCATTGTCTTTGATCTCGGTAGTAGGAAGCCACGTTTATTAAGAAAGTTGTTTCGGACATTGAAACTAATTTTAGAGGAAAAAACCACACGAAAACAACAACCACACCAACAACCACAACAGCAACCACAACAACAACCACAGCAACAACCACAACAACACACACAATAACACCGAGCACAACAACCACCACAACAAAAAACACCACAGCAACAGCCACAACAACATCACACTAAGGGAAAGGAACAAGAAAATATAAGTAGTGAGAAAATTGAATAAATCCCAGAACGTGATAGGCTAAACTTAAGAACTAACGACTTAAAACTCTTTGTTTCTTATATAATAGTATCTAAAATGTAGGGCATGTCGGTGCTCCTAACTCACATCTGGTAGCACCCTCCTAACCGCAACACCCTCCCCCCCCCCAGAAAAACCAAAACCAAAAAACAAAACAATATTTACTAGGATCCGCCAAGCACCGTGGTTCTCAACCTTCCTAATGCCGCGAACCTTTAATAAAGTTCCTCATTTTGTGGTGAACCCCCCAATCATAAAATTGTTTTCATTGCTACTTCATAAATATGTGCTTTCTGATGGTCTTAGGCGACCCACAGGTTGAGAACCGCTGATCTAGCTGGAAGCTCCTAGCTACCCTAAAAGGCCAGGCCTGCACTGCCTTAATATCAGGTAAGTAGAAGTGAATTTGAATTGTAAAGTCGTGAAAGATACCGACCTATGCGGACCGAGACGAACCTAAACCACTGTAAACTATGGCGGCTCCTTTGTGCTCTCTAACCCTGTTTTTCTCGACGCAAATTTTTTTTGATTTTTTTTTTTTATGTTATTTTTTTTTAAATTAAAAAATAAAGTTATAATTCACAATTTCAAACTCTTTCTATTGGAGGAATAAAAATAAATATCAACTGCCGGTGTGTTAAGATTTCGTCATCATATTTATTTTCTAGACCCCCCCCCTCCCTCTCCGAATTGTTTTGTTTGATTACAGCTCCATAAAGTAAGGGTGCATTAGAAATTTAAATAAGGGGGGAAAAAATCACTTCCATTTTTCTTTTCTTGTTTTTGTTGTTGTGAATTCAATTATTTTTAAGGCCGCTGTAGAAAAAAATAAATGTGTTACTTATATAGAGCGAATGAAGATTTTTAAAAAAATATATAAATATATATATATGTATATATATATATATATATATATACATATATATATATATATATATANTATATATATATATATATATATAGATGGAAACATATATAGGAAATTAAAAACAAATGTGTGTCGTTAAAAAAAACAAAATACCAAAAAAAAAAAACCTTCCTGTCACCTCTACGATCACCCGAGCATGGGAACCCCTGGATAAGTCACTGAAATACGCGAGGAACAGATACAAGAGTGTTTGAATCATTGTCAACTGTTTTCAGAAAAGCAATCAGCCATTAAATACTGCGAACCTTGTACTGAGACTTTTTATCAGGTACTTAAGGGTAAACAAGACAGAATGACCTTCGGTGTTTGTGTCACGCAGATAACATGGAGATGAGCTCAACGGGTTGAGATAACCACTGATGACATAGGATAACATTGAAACACCAGTGCATTGCTTTGGTTGTTTACAAACGGAAAACGTTTCCACATCGCTACAACCTATTTTGATGACGTCATTTTGTAAAGAGCTCAACAAATTAAAATTAGATATTTGGGGAATTTTTTTTTCTTCCCATTTAAATACTAAGTGGCATTAGTTAGAAAATGTAAATGTTAAACTTAGGACCATACAACCTTAAAGAGCAAAACCCGAAGGGGAATAGAGTTCAAGGCCAAGTGATGATTATTACGTGACTCAAAAATATCAAAGTATCAGTTGTATTGACAATATTTTGCATTTATTTTCTCTTTCTTTTAATCAGCTTATTGAGTTTCAATAGCTTTTCCAAACCATTTAAAAAAAAAAAATTATAAATCTTGTTTTCAACTTTAATCTCTATTTATCTGGTTAACGTATGTTTCATTTACTCACCAAAATAAAGAAGGGCTAAAGCCAAAATGGCCGTTGGAACAGCTGATTTGTTGACCATGGCGTGAACTGAAGGAAACTGATATTAAAAACATTTGTAAATGAATTATCAAACAGATAAGATAGAACTGTTGACCTAAACAAAGATTCATCAATTTCTTTATTTTTTCCTTAAAAGAAACAATTATATTGACATGTAAGCAATTTATTTAGAGATTACTACTATGATCTTCAATAATTGAAAAAAAAATTGATGCATTCAAAGAGTGTTACTGTATAAATATCTAATTGTCTCTATTTTCTGCAGAGTCGTAAATAAGCCACATTTAATTATCTGTAACATAGATAACCGTAGAAAACTTTCTAAAAGGGGAGGGGGGCAAAAAAATCGATTAACTTTCCGGGGGGGGGGGGGCACATTTCCCTACCGACGCGCAGCTACGCCTAGATACACATTGCTCCATCTAGCTACACCAAGCTACACCTAGTTAAATCTAGCTATGTCTAGCTACACTTAGCTACGCCTAGATACCCATAGAAACGCATAGCTCCTCCTAGCTACACCAAGCTACACCTAGTTAAATCTAGCTATTTCTAGCTACACTTAGCTGCGCCTAGATACCCATAGAAACGCATAGCTCCACCTAGCTACACCAAGCTACACCTCGTTAAATCTAGCTATGTCTAGCAACACTTAGCTACGCCTAGATACACATAGTTCCACCTAGCTACACCAAGCTAAACCTACTTAAATCTAGCTTTGTCTAGCTACACTTAGCTACGCCTAGATACCCATAGAAACGCATAGCCACGCCTAGATACACTTAGCCACATGAAACAAACACATCTATCAACTTGTTCGCCCATATCATTTAAGGCTAATGCGACTGATCACACAACTGTATTCCGCCATCCACACTTACCTTCATTGATGTTTCATCAACCAGCAACAAGATCAACGCATCAGAGTGCAACGGGTCAGATAGTCACCGTTTCTTTTTTTTTGTTTGGCTTATGAATCCCTTTTACAGTTGATCTCATATCGTCCAGTATCACAGCACCAGTAGTCGATGCTTGTTATCTGAAGGAAGTCTCGGCATTTTCAACACATGTTTGAAGTAGGAGTCGCAGAAAAAAACTTGACTCCTGGGGAACTATTATTGTTGACCGTTTAGTGCAGGGGTGGGCAAATTTAGTAGCTGCGAGTCAGATTCAAGGGGCAACAGAGGCATGGGAACCATAAATGGTGATTTTTTTTGGGGGGTTGGGGGGGGGGGTGGGGGGGTGGGTGTTAAACAAATGTCAGAGTAATTATTGTTAAACCAGAAAAGCTCAACAACCCCATGTACTGGTGACATATTACAACTCCATATACTGGTGACATATAAAAACTCCGTATACTGGTGACATATTACAACTCCATATGCAGGTGACATCCAACAACTCCATATACTGATGACATATAGCAACCCCATATACTGGTGACATATAACAACTCCATGCACTAGTGACATATAACAACTCCATATACTGGTGACACATAACAACCTGCTATATTTTCCATTTTTATGCTTATGTTCAGGATTATTTTTATGTTTTTTTTAAAAAAATCATATAAACAAATATATAAATACATTTTACTTTGTGATGATCTATTTTAATAACACAAACTTGTAGGAACACCGTTTCTTTGCCTCTTTAGCTTGTTCATCAACAAGTTAAAATTTCATATCACTCAAAATAATAAACATATTTTAATTTCCAGGACCCCCCTCCCCCCTATTTTGTTGACATAATTTAAGGACGATTTAAGAGTTTTTGTTGCTTTTATTTTAGTCTCAACTGATATTTTTTTCTTTCTTTAATTGATTAAAAATTCTAAACTTGACCCGTGTGAAAAAGTCTATGAAATAATACATCAAAATCTTAAGAGTAATGTCTCAGTCTCTTACTCCGTCGGTGGACACTACAAAGAAAGGTAACACCATCATTAGAAACACATAGAAATATACTCGCTGCAGAGATTTAAAAAATTGTATTCGATTCCAAAGTTCTGATAATTACAGTATGCAAAGCCTTTATCGACATGCTTTTTAAACCTTAATAACAACATGATTGGGGGGGGGGTGTGGGTGGTGATGATAATCACAGTGTAGAGAACAATCGATTTGGTAACATTTACAATTTGATAACAATGTTATCGCGAACAAGCAGTGGTATCACATTATGACGCCAGCTACGCGATCGGCCGTCCGACATGATGAGATTCCCCTTTGGTTTTAATTTCAAATTTCAGCAACACGGCGTTCAACTTTAATCCACTACAAGACTTAATGTAAAAAGAGAAGAGGCTTGCGTTTATAAAACCATAGAATTGTTAATTTGATCGGTCGCCCCATTTCTTGCAATGGTGTTTTCTTTGTGCTATGGGGAGTGATGTTATGCAGAATGTGAGCAACCAATACAAGTTACAAGTGGTCTCTTGGAAACATATCATTTCGTCACTGGATTCAAAGAAATTCACCGAACTTAACCGTTTTAGAAAATTTTGAGCTTTGTCACAATTGTGTTCAAAATTGTAAACTTAATAATCTATTTTGTTTGAAAATTTAATTTAGATAGTAAGGTTTCAATATCATCAATAGTCAGAACGAATGGTCAAATGAGACATTTTGAGTGGGGGCAGCTCAAATATCTAATGGCCAAATTAGACCATTTTAGTGGGGGGAGGGGGGCAGCTCAAACATCTAATGGCCAAATGAGACATTTTGACTGGGAACAACTCAAAATTTTGAGGGGTTGTTCAATTTTAATTTTAAAAGTCCCAATTGAGATAACCTTTAGAAAACTTTGCGTTTTCAGTATTTGCAGTTGCGTCCCCTTTTATATGAGTTGATTTACTATAAACAATAAAGACCAATGGAGCCACTAACTAAAAAATAGTTCTTTTCTACACGTTATTCATTTTTATGTCTATTTCTACGGTGTTAACTCGTTCATTCATTAATAAATTTGTGAAGATCGACGAAAATTTATTAGCGTTCGCCATCTTGGAATCAAAGGATCCGCCATTTTTTAAAATTAATGGTGGGCTAAAAGCAAAGCATTAAACGGGAGATAAGTCGGCTACATACACTATGATTATCCATACAATCTTTAAAATAAGAGCCGAGAACTGCATTCAAACAAAAATCCCAGACTCTGCTCAAAATGCCTACGTACACCCATGAACTTAACAGTTCTTCTGACCCCGCAGTTGCTAGAGACACATTTTTAGCAAAAAACAAAAATTCATTTAAAGGTTTTCAAGACTTAAATTATTATGTTGCAAAAAAATTACAACAAATTTCCCTTTATTGTGATCGATAAAATCACCATATCATCTTGCCTGATCTCATCGGTTACGGCCTTGTTTAGGGAGTTCTTTTAATCCTCGATATACATTTTTGCAAAGCTGTGAGGTTGACGGACGCTTCGGTTTAGAAAGCAATAGTCTATCATGCTACCCACTTGAAATAGTGTAAGTGTCCTATGTGTGCAGTCTATATTGTGACACCCCCTTGAAATTGTGAAGTATCCTGTCTATCAATGACCCCCTTAAAATAGTTTGTGTCCAATGTGTCCAGTCTGTCTTCGACGACTTTAAATAGTGTAGTGTCTAATGTGTCCTGCCTATACTTGACCCCCTTAAAATAGTGTAATGTCCTCTGTGTCCTGTCTATGAGTTACATCCTTAAAATAGTGTAATGTCTTCTGTGTCCTGTCTATGAGTTACCCAATTAGAATAGTGTAATGTCCTCTGTGTCCTGTCTATGAATGACCCCCTTAAAATAATGTAGTGTTCTCTGTGTCCTGTCTATGAATGATCCCCTTAAAATAATGTAGTGTTTTCCATGTCCTGTCTATGAGTTACCCCCTTAGATTAGTGTAATGTCCTCCGTGTCCTGTCTACGAATGCCCCCTTAAAAAGTGTAATGTCCTCTGTGCCTGCCTATACTTGATCCACTTAAAATAGTGTAATGTCCCAAGTGTCCTGTCTATGAATGGCCCCCTTAAAATAGTGTAGTGTCCTACGTGTCCTGTCTATCATCGTCCCCCCACCCCCCCCCCCCAAATATCATTTGTACAACATACTTAAAAATATTTTCTATCTCAGCAACTGAACCCACCCCCTTTTTCCCCTTACCCCCACAACCTACACATCAATACAAAAATTCAATCAGTACGATGAATGAGACTACGCAGTTAGTTTAGGTAGTTTGTATTTTTGAAAATAATGAACAAATATCGTCCACTCTTAAAGTGTTCAATGGCTCAAATTGACGTCTATTGAACATTGCACAGCCTATTCAAACGCAAAACAAAATTGGGATTTTGGGAGGGTAATTTTGCCAGAATAACTGCGTCAATTATTTTTTTAATTTGTGAGCAGCCACGTGCACTATACATCAAGTAAGGCTGTATCAGAATTCGCTAGACAGACGTCATAAAGCCCTGCTTCAAATCAGTTGACATTTTTCGTGTCGCTGACCAGGTAACTCAAAAAGGGTCATTTTTCTGTTCTGTTATATACTAGTTTTCTGCACCATTGTCTATGGGATTATAGTTCCAATATTTTAAAACCATAATTTTGTTTGTTGTTTTTTGTCTTCTTGGAAATACAGAGGAGAAGAAATGTTCGTTGGGAAAGCGAATTCTCATCTTTTGGATTGTTTCATAATGTTGACACTTTCAGTGTCCAAAAGGTCACTTCTTGTTTTATCGTGATGTACTTTCAGTGACCGAAAGACCACTTCTTGTTTCAAAAAGTTGACACTTTCAGTGTCCAAAAGACCACTTCTCTTTTTATCGTGTTGACATTTTCAGTGTCCAAAAGACCACTTCTTGTTTTATCGTGTTGATACTTTCAGTGTCCAAAAGACCACTTCTCGTTGTATCGTGTTGACACTTTCACTGTACAAAAGACCACTTCTTTTTTTTATCGTGTTGATACTTTCGGTGACCAAAAGAAAACTTCTTGTTTTTTACTGTATACACTTTCAGTGATTGAAAGATCACTTCTTGTTTTATTGTGTTTACACTTTTAGTGACCGAAAGACCACTTCTTGTCCTACAGTGTTGACACTGCCAGTGACCGAAGTGCCACTTCTTGTCTTACAGTGTTGACACTGCCAGTGACCGAAGTGCCACTTCTTGTCTGATAGTGTTGACACTGCCAGTGACCGAAGTGCCACTTCTTGTCTTACAGTGTTGACACTGCCAGTGACCGAAGGGCCACTTCTTGTCCCACAGTGTTGACACTGCCAGTGACAGAAGTGCCACTTCCTGTCTTACAGTGTTGACACTGCCAGTGACCGAAGGGCCACTTCTTGTCTCAAAGTGTTGACATTGCCAGTGACCGAAGTGTCTTACAGTGTTGACATTTCCAGTGACCGAAGTGTCTTACAGTATTGACATTTCCAGAGACCGAAGTGTCTTACAGTGTTGACACTGCCAGTGAGCGAAAGATCGCTTCTTGTTTTCTGAGTTGCCACTTACGATGGCTGTAACAGAATGTTCAATAGGCGCTTAAAAAAATCCCAGCAATGTTGCACTTATTGGTGCGTTGTTATCAAGGATGTCACTTTAGTGCATTTCTTGTCAAGTAACCTTAGTAGATGTCAAGTAACTTTAGTAGATGTCAAGTAACTTTAGTAGATGTCAAGTAACTTTAGTAGATGTCAAGTAACTTTAGTAGATGTCAAGTAACTTTAGTAGATGTCAAGTAACTTTAGTAGATGTCAAGTAACTTTAGTAGATGTCAAGTAACTTTAGTAGATGTCAAGTAACTTTAGTAGATGTCAAGTAACTTTAGTAGATATCAAGTAACTTTAGTATATGTCAAGTAACTTTAGTAGATGTCAAGTAACCTTAGTAGAT